CAAATTGGCGAATTAGATCTAATAATAAAATGTAAATTTGTATTTAAAATTCTTTATACAAAATAATAAAACCACATAATTGTTGTCAGAATTTACCTATATGAATAAATGATTCTTAGGAAAGGAATAATCTACTATGAAAATATAAACTTGAATGTGCATAATAACATATTAGAGTAATAAAAACAAAATTATAGAAATAACTTGTACGATCGAATATAGTGCAATATAGAAATTACCTTTTAAAATATATATAAATGAATATATTCAAAATTACTTATTAAAACTGTCATATATACATTACCTTTTTCATAGAAAAGTCCTATACAAACTTATAACTCATTAAAAAGTATTTTGTCTCATATAATCTAATAAATAGTTTTTATGTGCCGTTTTTAAGTTCTTATCTGACTTATATTTTCTTATAAAATCTCATATATTTTTAATTAGATTTTATGGGATTTTATGGGATCCTTTCAATAGGGATGGTACGCACTTGCCGAGTTAATAAACTACAAGTCATTATATAAATTACTTCTCATTGTATTACTTGTTTATTGATATGCAAGCCGAATTTATAACGAAGCTACGTAGCACGGCGAACCACATGCTGTCCCACACAACACATGGACGTCTTCGGGACGTGTACCACATATGTCCTCAGATGTCCATTTTATGACATCAGTTTTTGGACGTCGAAAGGACGTCCAGAGAACGTTTTATGGACGTTCCAAAATATTGTCTACATCTTTATGAGAGATAAGATGTTTTGAAGATGTCCTGGGAACATCCATAAAATGTCCCCAGGATGTCTGTGGTACGGCCCGAAGACATCTGTGGTATGACCCAAAGACGTCCATAATAATGTCTCAAAAGACATCCGTTCCCAGAGAATAATGTAATTCGTACGAACTTACACATATTTATATTATATATACTATATTATATTATTAGTGTATTATACATATATATAATCATATATAATAAAAATATTTAATATATATATATACTTAATAAAAAGTTAAAAATAAAAAATTTAATAATACAAAAAATTTTTAATATAATATTTTAACATTTTAAAATAATCAATTAAAAATACAAAAATTGGATTACTTAAAAATTGCAAATT